CAGTCTTGTTTAACAAAATCTGCCTACATCTGTTAAATTAAACTCAAAACCCACATTGAACATTTAGAAAGACATTTTATGCAAGGCTATTGTTAATCCTTAAATGTTGATTTGGTTAAAAAGTTCAAGTGTCGAACAAGTATATCTAAGTATCAAGTTTTGTTTGTCAAACTTTTATGTTTGTGTGTTGTTATAAAATGAAAATACGATGCTTGTCAATAACATAAGACCACTCACAGAATTGACAGTTATGTAGATGCAAATTGAAAACCTCTGTAACAAAAGTAACAGTACGTTATTTTATGTGAATCTTTATGCACAGTAAAGATATGTATAAGGCATAGAAGGTTGTGTATATACTTAAATACTAGTACTGAAATTAATATGTTTTATTGGGAACCCGTTTATTGTGATGTAACAGTGCCAACATTAAGGTAACTACGTTTGCTGTAATTTAAGTACAAACAGTGTTTTATAACGTACCATTTATTAAAATGAAAAGTCCCTGGTGGGTCAGCAATAAGATTATAGACTTAATTACAATGGTAAAGTTTGGGGTTCGGTTCTCCCCAGTTAATGGAGCACAGATAGATCATTGTGTAGCTTTGCAAACAAAAAAATAAAATAAAATTTAAAAATTAATGAATTGACTCAAATTTTATAAGTTGTTTTATCTTGATGATCGTTATTAGCTTATCTTCTGTAGTGGACTGAATGACTATTATATCATGCCTTGCCATTGTAGTGAACAGTTGTTACAATCAGTTATTACTTCACTGTTTTGTTTCTTCAGTGTCCCTTTTCTCAACTGACTTTTACATTTGTGGAATTGCTGCCTTGGAGGAAAATTTGGTGGTTTTATCAGTACTAAAAGAAGACATTCAGGTAAAAACTTGTTTAACATTTTGATATAAAGGAAAAATTTAATAAACCTAACAGTGTTAAAAAAGATATAAAAAAAAAAACTTTTTATGAACTTGATAGTGGATGTACGGGTAAAAGATCATTTAGTAAGCTTAACTCTATAAAACTTTTCAGTTAAACATTGGATAAACTTAACAGTTTTGGAAGGAAGATCTACAGATGAAGCTTTAATGAATTGTAACAGCTGTATATGAAGATATACAGTATTGGAAATAATGAATAAAATGGTTAAACATTCAAATATTATGGGAATGCTCTACTTTTATTGTATGAAAATGAAGACTGTAGCCACATTTTGATGGTTTACACTGTGACTGGCTGTCAATTAATTGTACAACTTTTATGTTTTCTGTAATATGTATTGTAATAGTGATAAATTGTCCATGTAGTTGCAGTGACTCATTGTTTGTGACTCCTATATGTGTATCACTGGTGTATTTCCATAATTATTTCTAGTATTGTAGAGGTAAATTTGAAAATCTGCTCACTATCTGTTAGGCCCGGCATGGCCAGGTGGTTAGGGAGCTTGACTCGCGATCTGAGTGTCGCTGGTTCGAATCCCCGTCCCACCAAACATGCTTGCCTTTAGCCATAGGAGTGTTATAATGTGATGGTCAATCCCATTATTCGTTGGTCAAAGAGTACCCTAAGAGTTGGCTGCAGGTGGTAATGACTAGCTGCCTTCCCTCTAGTCTATGACTGCTAAATTTGGGACGGTTAGCACAGATAGCCCTTGTGTAGCTTTGCGAGAAATTCAAACTTAATCACTATCTATTATATGTAACGTAAAGGAGAGTTTTGCTGCAGAATAGTTATCTCTCCCAATTATAATTTTTTCTGGATAATCCTTAAAAGATTTTCCCACTGACAAAAGATTGTTATTTTCAAGTATATGAATATAGTTTTTCTTGAACTCTATGATAATGTTTGCTCTTTTTTAGGGTTAATCATATTTTATAAGACAGCTGCACATACACTAATGCATCACCATTTGGCCACAGATGCAAGTTGTGGTGGCAAGGTGATGCTTAGTTGCTATTTATTTTGTTCTCATCATTTGAAATTGCAATACTACCAGAGGTTAACTCATGGCTAGAGTTTATGTTACAGAGTTTCAAGGAAGGACATTCATATGGTAAAACCATACAAAGCCCGAGGCAAACTAGTTTTAAAAATGATTATCTGTAACACAGCGAATGGCACCGTAAATTCATGACGCGTGCATATGAGGATGTCAGGCCAGAAAAACATCTCCTTACAGCAGGACTGCTGCTACCATTGACAAAGTTTGGAGACTTATCTTCCAGAAAAGTAATTTCGAACAATTAACAGTTCACAGGTAATTCACAACGAACTTGCTTTTGCAAAGAAGCATAAACCTTGAGTGTATCCAACACGTTGATGAGAGAAAGACAAACCATTGGAAGCTGTACGGAACATGCCTTGCACGTGAAATACAACAACAAGAAAAGGGTAATTTTCTACAGAAAATGAGACAGATGAGGCTTTTCAACTTGGTTCACAGAATGTAAAGAAGGTTTGGGTTTGGATGCAGATTTCTCATGCAATGGAAAAATTAAGTTTCACAGTGTGCACAATAATGCAATGTGAACTGTAGTTACTACCAAAAGTTACTACTATTAGCACGAATTATGCAAGATTAAATTCCTACACTGTCAAGCCAGGATGCCGAGAATGTTCATTTATATTGGGTTATAGCATCAAGTCACATGTATAATTTATCTGACTGAGTGAGTACCCATTAATTTTTACTTAATTTTATTTACTTTAATAAATGTTGTCTCGTAAGGCCACAACATGTACAGCGGAAAGCTTGTAAACATGCATGAACCAGTATTGACTTTGTCGTCCTTTGCAAAAGCTTGTTACAGTGGAAATTGTAATGTCAGGCATTTATTTGTAATCATGGTAATGAGATTGGACACACGCAAGAGGTGTTTCCCAGGGCAGCACAGAATGTTGCTTTGAGTGTGATTAACCTTCAACATAATCTATAATAACTTATTGAAACTTTTTTCTTCACAATCGGTTTTCATGGTGTTGAAATTTCTTGCAATTAATTATGGTAGGAAATCCTCTTGGTAATGTTTTTTTTTCAGAACCGGAATTTTGTATTAACAACTTCTTCGTTTTAGTTTCCGTCAGCGCAAGCTTCACGTCCCCAGCTACGTGTTCTTGAGCCTCATTGTGAATATAGTAATGAGATGTCTAGTGACATCCTTTCAGTGCGAGGATTCCAGGAATATTCCTGTAAGGATTATTATCTTGGTAAGTGTTTATGAGGTTGTGCAGGATTATTAATCTGGTAAACATACGTGTTAATGTAAAGATTTTTATTTTATCATTACTTTGACAAATACACATGTTTTTGAAACACTTTTATTTTGTTATTATCTGCTAAATTCATGTGTTAGTGTAAAGATTTGAATGTTAGCTTATGTAGTATCATCCTTGAATGATAGTTTGTTCTACTTGTCTTAAATACTAGTTTATGTTATCCTTGGATGTTGATTTTAGTTTGTTTTGTTGTACCATCAATTAACATGAGTTTATGTTGTACCATCAATGAACATGACTTTATGTTGTACCATCAATGAACATGACTTTATGTTGTACCACCAATGAACAGGAGTTTATGTTGTACCACCAATGAGCAGGAGTTTATGTTGTACCACCGATTAACATGAGTTTATTTTGTCCCATCGATTAACAGGAGTTTATGTTGTACCATCAATGAACAAGAGTTTATGTTGTACCATCAATGAACAGGAGTTTATGTTGTACCATCAATGAACAGGAGTTTATGTTGTACCATCAATGAACCCGAGTTTATGTTGTACCACCAATGAAAGTGAGTTTATGTTGTACCACCCATGAACACAAGTTCATGTTGTACCACCAATGAACACGAGTTTATGTTGTACCACCAATGAACACGAGTTTATGTTGTACCACTAATGAACACGAGTTTATGTTGTACCACCAATGAATGTGAGTTTAGGTTGTACCATCAATGAACACGAGTTAATGTTGTACCACCAATGAATGTGAGTTTATGTTGTACCACCCATGACTGTGAGTTGAAGTTGTACCACCCATGAACGGTTCATGGGTGGTACAACTTCAACTCACGTTCATGGGTGGTACAACATAAACTCACATTCATGGGTGGTACAACTTAAACTCACGTTCATGGGTGGTATAATTTAAACTCAGTGAGTTTAAGTTGTACCACCCATGAATGTGAGTTTATGTTGTACCACCCATGAACATGAGTTTAAAGTTGTACCACCCATGAACGTGAGTTTAAGTTGTACCACCCATGAATGTGAGTTTATGTTGTACTCATGAATGCTAATTTTGATGTTGTACAATCTTTGAATGTGAGTTTGTATTTTATTTTTCAATGTTAGTTTGTGTTGTATAATCCATCATTGTTAGTGTTGTATCATCCATCATTGTTAGTTTGTATTTTATCATCCATCATTGTTAGTTTGTATTTTATCATCCATCATTGTTAGTTTGTGTTTTATCATTCTTCAATGTTAGTTTGTGTTGTATCATCCACCACTGTTAGTCTCTATTTTATCATTCTTCAATATTAGATTGTGTTGTATCATCCATCACTGTTAGTTTCTACTGTATCATCCATCATTGTCAGTTTCTACTGTATCATCCACCATTGTTAGTTTCTACTGTATCATCCATCATTGTTAGTTTCTACTGTGTTATCCACCATTGTTAGTTTCTACTGTATCATCCATGGATAATACAGTAGAAACTAACAATGATGGATGATACAGTAGAAACTAACAATGGTGGATAATACAGTAGAAACTAACAATGATGGATAATACAGTAGAAACTAACAACAACAGATAATATAGTAGAAACTAACAATGGTGAATAATACAGTAGAAACTAACAATGATGGATAATACAGTAGAAACTAACAATGATGGATGATACAGTAGAAACTAACAATGATGGATGATACAGTAGAAACTAACAATGACTGGATAATACAGTAGAAACTAAAATTGGTGGATAATACAGTAGAAACTAACAATGATGGATGATACAGTAGAAACTAACAATGATGGATGATACAGTAGAAACTAACAATGATGGATAATACAGTAGAAACTAACAATGACCAATTTTAGTTTCTACTGTATTATCCTTAAATGTAAAATTTCTTTTCAATAATTCTTAAATGAAAAAGTTGTTTTGAATTATTGTTGATTATAAGTTTACGTTGCAACATCCTTGAATGTTCTCTTCAGCTTTAATTTTCATTTGTACAAATATAGTTCCTTCTTTCATTTTATTAGTGTCTTAGGTTATACTGTTTCATTTTATCATGAAACAAATTTATGAATGTGACTTGTTTTTTTCAGAGAGTTTACCAAATGAAGGTGTCTTCTTCATCTTAAGCCCTAAAGATGTGGTTATTGCTAAACCTCGGGATGAAGATGATCACATTTCCTGGCTTTTAGAGCATGAACAGTTTGAAGTAAATATTGATTTAAACTGTAACCCTCTCTGAAATGTTTTAACATTTTTTTTAATTTCATATTTTAGATAAGTTGATAACCAACAGAAATGTCAGGGTGTTTTAGGTTTTAATAATTGCATGTTCATATGAGACTAACTTAAGAATAACCTGTAATATTTCAACTAACTATTGCAAGTATGATGCATGTATTTTATTAGGCCATCAAGAAATTGATGTCGCTATTTTTTTAGATGAAAAAAAACCCGAACAATTCGTATATCAGAACAAAACATTTATTAAATGAAATAGTGGGCGTGCATCATCATGGAGAAGAACACCTTTTGGATTGACGAGTGAAGTGCGTTTCTGTTGCTTCAAAAATTGTTTCATGCTTTGAGACTGTTGAGAAAGCGACACTGAAATCCCAATATTTGATTAGAGTAGCTGATGAGTTGGGGTGGTGGGTGCCATTGACTAACTACTTTCTCTTTAGTCTGTTAGTACAAAATTAAGGATGGGTGGTGGAGGTGGCCTTTATGTAGCCTTGCTGAAATTTCTGAAACAATTAAACAAACCTAGTAATTTTGGTTGTATAAAAACATTACAATTCAGTGTCAGTGTCTGAATACAAAATATGTCGGCTGTGCAGTAGTTAATATCAATGATGTTACTTTATTTTCAGCATTTAATATCTCTGGTTCTACTTTAATTATTTAATATATATGGTTTTAGTTTATTTTCAGCATTTAATATCTCTGGTTCTACTTTAATTATTTAATGTATATGATTTTACTTTATTTTCAGTATTTAATATCTCTGGTTCTCTGAAAATAAAGTAACATCATATATATTAAATAATTAAAGTTATTTAATATCTCTGGTTCTACTTTAATTATTTAATATATATGATTTTACTTTATTTTCAGCGTTTAATATCTCTGGTTCTACTTTAATTATTTAATATATATAATGTTACTTTATTTTCAGTATTTAATATCCATGATTTTCTTTCCTAGGAAGCTCTCCAAGCTGTTCTGATTGCTAAGAACCTGAAGAGACATTCTGTTACGGTATGTTTTCTGTAATACACACGACATTCATGATAATTAGGTCGGACTATTTTATTTGTGGGATATAGTATACACATGACATTAATGATAATTAGGTGACTATTTTATTTGTGGGATATAGTATACACAGGACATTCATGATAATTATGTGACTATTTTATTTGTAGGATACAGTATACATACAACATTCATGATAATTAGGTCAGACTATTTTATTTGTGGGATACAGTATACATACAACATTCATGATAATTAGGTTGGACTATTTTATTTGTGGGATATAGTATACACATGACAATCATGATAATTAGGTGACTATTTTATTTGTGGGATATAGTATACACATGACATTCATGATAATTAGGTCAGCCTATTTTATATGTGGGATACAGTATACACACGACAATCATGATAATTAGGTCAGACTATTTTATTGTGGGATATAGTATACACACGACATTCATGATAATTAGGTCAGACTATTTTATTTGTGGGATATAGTATACACACAACATTCATGATAATTAGGTGACTATTTTATTTGTGGGATACAGTATACATAGGACTTTCATGATAATTAGGTCGGACTATTTTATTTGTGGAATATAGTATACACACGACATTCATGATAATTAGGTCAGACTATTTTATTTGTGGGATACAGTATACATAGGACTTTCATGATAATTAGGTCAGACTATTTTATTTGTGGGATATAGTATACACACGACATTCATGATAATTAGGTCAGACTATTTTATTTGTGGGATATAGTATACACACGACATTCATGATAATTAGGTGACTATTTTATTTGTGGGATATAGTATAGTATTTCCCTGTTTATATGATCAGTAAAGTAGTCGACCATCATTACAACTGATAAAATAATGAACGTCAAAGATTGAAATAAACATTGAAGAAGAAACAGCTTCAAAAACTAATTAACACCTATTTTTTTTTTTTTTTATAGATTTAAACTATATTCAAGGCAAAATTAATTTTATATTAGTATTTTCAGCTCCTGTTTTATTAAGCTTCAACGAGGCCGGTCCGGTGTCATACTATTGTGTCCTTGAGCAAAACACTATACTCCAATTGTTTCAGTCTACCAAGCTGTATGATAGGTACTTAACTGTTAGCTGGAGGTTAACTTGTGATGGATTGGCAACCCATCTAGGGGGAAATGGGGCATCATTCTCATCTGCTT